ACGTGGGTGAAGTTTTTTCGAAAAAAGGCAACTTTTTTCGAAAAAACTGTGTAGTCTAGACACACCCCTCAGAGAACTGTGATAGAAATGTAGCCGTGTTAGTCTGGGGTAGTTGAAGCAAAATGCAGGACAATGTAGCACTTTAAAGACTAACAAGATGGTTTATTAGATGATGAGCTTTCGTGGGCCAGACCCACTTCCTCAGATCAAATAGTGGAAGAAAGTAGTCACAACCATATCTGCCTTGGTTCTGCTCCCTTCTATCAGTGTCTTCTTTTTTGCGGGCTGCAGCAGAGAGACAGGCTGGTCCAGATGACAGGGAATTAGCCCTGGGGAGACCTGGGTTCTACTCCCCCCATGGCCTTCCTGTATGACCTCAGGCCAGTGCCTGAGGGACAGAGTTTCCAAGGATTTTAGGCACCCAAAGATGCAGCTAGACATCTAGTAGTGTTTACAAAGCATCTAGACTTCTAGGCTCTTTTCAAATTCTCACTAGGTACCTAAATGCCTTTGAAAATTTGACCTTGAGTCTCTCTGCACCTAAGGCCTTGTCTACACTACAAAGTTTTGTTGGCAAAAGCTGCCTTTTGTTGACATAACAGAAGCAATGAACATGCTGCAAAGCAACTATTGGTGGCAAACTTTGATGTTTTGCTGACAAAATAAAACCACCCACCTCAATGAGAGACATAAAACTTGGTGTGGAAAAGTTAAAGCGATAAAGCATCAGAGTCAGTGGTGCAAGTGGGCCTGTCAGGTCTGGTACGGTGCGCTGTACTCCTACCAGCAAGTTATTTTGGCTGGTACTGTGTGCTGGAAAGACTTCTTGTCTGCCATCCCCAGCCCCTCCACTGGTTGCCACGTCTCTGTGTATAGGGCTGGGGTGCAACGGCAACCAGAAGAGCTGTGGGCGTTCTGCTCCTTTCTCCATTACCCTCCCGATTGGAGGGGCAGAATCATTTGGGAGTCATGGGGGGGGGTGGGAGGGTGCTATGCCCCTCCCTCTTAGCTCGGTGCCCTCCCCCTCCCATACCAATAAGAACTTTTGTTTACTTGCACCACTGGTCAGCGTAGACCAACAGTAAGCAAAATCCGGCCCATGGGCTGGATCCTGCCCACCAAGTGTTTTAGTTCAGCCCATGCCCCACCCTTAACAGCTCTCCTGCCAACAAAATGAACCCTCCTTGTGGGGGGATAGAAGTATTTTGTCAGCAAAAGTGCCAACAAACAGCGTTCACACAAGCTGATCTTTAGCGACAAGGCTGTGTTGGAAAACACTGTGTAGTGTAGACATACCCTGAATGCAAACTTGGTGAAGGCTTCCATGTGTTTCTTCTGAGTCCCCTGTATTCTCTCCAACACCCTCCACTCCCTGCAGAGGGATTCCTGTTTTACAGGCTCATTAATGACTTCCAGATCCTTAATTTAATCACCAGCCCTTTCTTACCTTGAGCACCTTGTCCTGGGGAAACAAAATACTAACTCACTGCTCCAGAGGCACAAACTGGGAGTAACACCTCTTCTGCAGAATTCACATTCCACTCTAATGCTATGCCGCAGTTAAGAGCTTCTTCTGGGAGCAAGAAACCTCCCATATGAAACTTGAGGGGGAGACCTCCCAGACAAGTGGGAGCCTCAGAAAAATAGGTGCTCCTGTGCCCCAACCTGCTCCACCTACCCAATGCTTCTGCTAGAGGAAGCAGGGGAACCCCCCCCATTTCCTGAGCAGAAGGGCTGCAGAAGGAATGGGTGGGGGGACCCACACTTACTCTGGTCTCCCTGCGCCCCACAAAAGTTTAATTCATCACTTTTGATGTCCCTTTCCAAACATCTAAATTTGGGGGGACTTTTGGATCTAGCGCCAATCTCTGTATGATGGGTCACTGTCTAGTAACAACCTGAACCTTTGTCCTACATCAACCAAGTCTTGAGTTTGACAAAATCTTTTTGGGTTTGAAAAAGATTGATTAGTTATTTCCAGTGCCCTCCCCTTATCCTGGCTGCTTCTGCGTTTCCTTTTTCTAGCTGTGTTTGGAAGCTTTAAAATGCCATGGAGAAAGATAGTGCTTTTATTATCATATCATCTTGACCAGACACAGAAGTTGCAAGAAATCTCACTATATCCTGTTCTGATCCAATTTCCAGCCCACTTATGTGGGGCTCAGAGAAGACCAAAGAAAATCCTTACTTCTGCTTAAAAAAAACTAAAGAAAAGAGTGGTCCTGTAGCACTTTAGAGTAGTGTTTCCCAATTTTATTTGGCCACGGAACCCTTTTAAATTCAGAAAAATTTCGAGGAACCCCTAAGGAAAATTTGTCAAGCCAAAAAAAAAAAAAGGGTACAACACGACCCCTCCACCCCCTCCCCAGAAGACAGTCTGGTATATGGAGCTAAAAAAGTAGACCACAAATAAGTAAGGATAATAATAACGAACAAATGCTAAATAAGGTAATGAGATCAACATTTAGTTTAATTGCACATATTTAAAAACAAAAATCACATTTAATGTGTACATAAAAATAAAGCTCAAAAATGAATATAAAGTATATTGGCAGTTTTCAATGTGAAGAGTGGTTTTTCTTCTTTTCTTGGCAAATCCTTTTTATATTTTGTTTAATACTAAAAAGTTGGATTTACGTATCTGGCGCTGCATTCAGTCAATTTCTGTATTTTGTTTTTGTTGCTGCATCATTTGAGAACCCAGTTTCACACAAGTATGTGCTGGTGAAGGTTAACAACTGACGAATTGCACGTCTTGATAAAGCTGAATATTCTTGACATAAGCCGCCCCAAAATGTAATCAGAGAAACTTCTTTACATTTCTGTATTAATTGGCCATCTGAAGTGATTTCGATTAGGTTTTCATAATCTTGCATAGAAAAACTGACTGGCTTTCCTGTTATACTTAACGGATTTCAAATCTAGTTGTTGTTGTTATTTATGGTTGGAAAATACTTCATGATGTTTGTGTATGAATCACAAAGATGATCTGCAATGTCCTGGCCAGGAGGACGAGTACAGGAGAAAGCTTGGAGCAGAGTGTCTGGCCAGGAGGGAGTGTATAGGAGGGGATCTTGGGGCAGGGTGTCAGGCCAGAAGGGAGGGTACAAGAGGGGACTTGGAGCAGGGTGTCAGAGCAAGCTGGGAATGCAGGCTTTTGGCGGGGGGGAAGGGAGTGAGGGGTCTGGGCGTGAGGGGGGACGCTTACCTGGCTTGGCACCCTGCTGCAGCAGGGAAAGCCTCCAGGCAGCATGCTCTTCTTCCTGAGGGGAGGGAGCTCAGTCCCCTGCCCGTGCAGTGGGGAACCCAGCGCAACTGCAGCACCAGGTCATGCTTTCCACTTCCCCAGCAGAGAGGAGGGGCGCAGGGGAGAAAGAGCAGCAGCACATGGGGGAGCAGCAAAGCCCAAGCGCGCCCCGAGCGGGGCAGCAGAACCCAAGCCAGGTTCCACACAGGTGGCAGTTTTAAAACACCGAGATCCGAGAGCGGCTCCGGCCATCCCTTCCCCTCCCAGCAGCAGCAGCCACTGGAAAAGCTGCTGGCCCCACACCAGGGGGGGGGCGGTTCGACAGCAGGCTGGGGAGGGGCACAGGGGAGAGAGAGCAACAGCACATGGGGGGCAGCGAGCCTGAGCACGCCCCGAGGGGGGGCAGCAGAGCCCGAGCCGGGTTCCATGCAGGCAGCAGTTTAAAAATGCCGAAGTCAGAAAGCGGCTCCTCAGCTCTGGCCATCCCTCCCCCTCCCAGCAGCAGCAGCTGCCCCCACTGTAAAAGCTGCCACCTGCACACAATGAGGCGGCTGCAAGGCACCGGGACAGGGCAGTCTTGCAGGGTGAGGAGGGGCTGCGCCGTGTGCGGGGGTGGGGCAGTTGCAGTGGGTGGTGGAGCAGCCAAAGCCAGTCACCCCCAGAAACCCGTCCTTACTGGCAAAGCCGCAATTGGAGCTGCCTATGGGCTCTGCAGGGGGCGGGGGAGCAGAATTTTTTTTGCGGAACCTCAGGTTTCTGTGGAGCACCCATTTGGGAAACACTGCCTTAGAGACTAAAAAAATATACATATAGTATCATGAGCTTTCATAGACAAAACCCACTTCTTCAGATGAGAAGATGTCTCATCAGACGGAGTGGGTTGTGTCCACGAAAGCTCATGATCCTATCTATATTTTTGTTAGTTTCTAAGGTGCTACAGGACCCCTTTTTTTTTTTTTTAAGTCTTTTTAAGTTACAGACTAACTCAGCTACTCCTCTGAGACTTACCTCTGCTTGTTTATTGGAACCTAGCTGTTAGAAATTTGCTCATCACTACTCTTTTAGGGGGGAGTAATTTTGGCATTTGATGCTTGTGAACAGTGTCTCCAGAGTACCACCTCTGTTCTTTTCCCCACAGTTCACTCCTTTCCACCCTCACCAGAATCTCAGCTGCCACCCTTCCCTGTAGGAGCTTGTCATTGCCACCCTTACATGGCTGTTAAGAGATCACTGCTAAGTAATGCAAGGCTCTCCCTTCCCCCTAGGAGCAGTCCCTGCCAAATATCAATATACCACCTGCCCTTTCGATATCAGGATGGGGAGTGGGGTTATTCTCTGTCCCACTGATGTGAAAGGGGGTATTAACTATTCAGAAAACCATCCTCTGTCCCACTGATCCAAAAGGGGGTATTAACTATTCAGAAAACCATTTGGAATAGAACTAAATGTCAACACATTGCTTCACAACCTGACATGATTTCAAGATGGAAGTCACCCAGCAAAAGCCTGTGATATTCCATCACACTGTCAGATTTGAAGGTGTGGGCAGCCTCTGGACTGGTCTACAGAGAGAGATACCAAGCAGGAGAAATAAAGCTAGTCAAATCAATAAGCAGGATGATATTTTGGTATCAATACCCACAAGCACTCTATAAACTTGGTAAGAAGAAAAACATGCTTGGATGTTTTCAAAGACTTCTTTGGTATGGTAAATATTTCAGAAGGAATCACAATATTTTCACTTCCCATTTACCTGCGGTTTTCTTCCAAAAAATGTAGGCGTTTCTCTATACCTTCAAATCGAGCATTCATTTCACTTCTGTTGGTCAGAGAATGATTCAAAAGGATTAGAATGATAAAATATCAATACAGTAATAACAGCTGCAATAGCTAAAGCCCCTCCCAAAATGACCTAAATATCCAAGACTTCTATGGTTAAAAATATATCTGCTTGGCCTGATGGCTTTGAGATCACTGCTCTGCCATGTGAGGGACCTGTGATGATCTTTGCCACACCCATATCCTCCGTCTCTGAGTCAGTGCCAAGTAAGAGTGTCAAGGCATAGCACTGAGTCTCTGGAGACAGGGAGGGCCACACATTGTCCTACTAGGCAAAGAAGAGGCTTGTGTGTGTGTAAAAGGTGAGGAAGACAAACAACAAGAATGGTGCAAATCTCAGGCATCCATTAGGTACATGAAGAAGCTAGGCAAAGAAGAGGCTTGTGTGTCTGTAAAAGGTGAGGAAGACAAACGACAAGAATGGTGCAAACCTCAGGCATCCATTAGGTACATGAAGAAGAAATTACTCACCTTGTGCAGTAACGATGGTTCTTCAAGGTGTCCCCCCGTGGGTGTTGGACCTGTCCCAGCGCCAGTTTGGAGATGTTTCAACTGTCATCTGCCGGACCGTGTACACGCGGTAGCCATCTTGCGGCTTTTCGCGCCGTTTCTAGTCACGCGGTCCGGCCCCGCCAGTTCCTCCCGACTGTTGAGGTCTGCAAGATAAAAACAAGAGACTCCAAAGAGGGGAGGAGGGCAGGTCATGGAGCACCTACAGGGACACACACCTTGAAGAACCATTGTTACTGCACAAGGTGAGTAACTTCTTCTTCTGGTAGTGTCCCCGTGGGTGCTCCACTGTGGGTGACTCCTAAGCAATAGCAGACGTAAGGAGGAGGGTCAGAGTCAGGGTGATGCCGCCGAGGAAAGGACGGCATTGGCTACTGCTGTGTCAGAAGCGATGACTCTGGAAAGAGCATAATGGTTCGCGAACATAAGTTCGGAGGACCAAGCTGCCGCCCGGCAAATGTACTTCATCGGAACTCCCTTAAAAAAAGTTGTCGATGATGCTACTGCCCTGGTGGAAGGGCTCTGACCCTATGGGATAGGGCGATCTTTCTCATTTGGTAGCATTTGGTGATGCATGAGACGATTAGCTTAGATAGTCGCTGAGATGACAATGGGCGACCTTTGGTGTGGGCGTCCAGAGAGATGAATAGATTATCTGTTTTGCATATGCTCCGAGTCCTTTCAATATAAAACGCCAGTGCTCTACAAACGTCGAGCAAATGGAGACTAGCACAGTGAGAAGAGGTGTGTGGTTTTGGATAGAAAATGGGTAGAACAATAGGTTCATTTATGTGAAAACTGGAATTGACCTTGGGCAGGAAGGATGGTCAGGATCGTAGAATGACTGCCTGTGGTGTAAAAATCATATAAGGAGATGATGCCGACAAGGCTGCCAGTTCCCCTACCCTGCGTGCAGATGTGATTGCCAGCAGGAACACAACCTTCATGGTGAAAAAGTTAGAATCAGATGTGGACAATGGTTCGAAGGGTGGCCGCATGAGCGTATCTAGGACCAATTCAAGATTCCAAGGATTTGGAGGTTCTTTGTGCTCGGGGAATAGGTTGATTAGGCCTTTGAGAAATCTTTTTGTCAGTGGATGTGAGAAAATTGTATATCCCTCGACCGGTTGTCTAACGGCTGAAATGGCCGCTAAGTGGACCTTCAGCGATGGTAAGGAAAGTGCACTATGTTTGAGATGCAAAGCGTACTCCAGAATGGAGTATAGTGGTACACTATGAGGGTCCATACCCTTGTGTGCACACCACTCTGTAAACCGTTTCCATTTATGCCGGTTAGTATTTTGGGTCGAAGTTTTCTTGCTATGTAGGAGTACATGGTCAACCGCTGCTGAAGCCCCTTGTCATGATTATGAGGGTTAGCAAGCAGCCTGGGGATTAAGGGGTTAACTACACCTAGCCAGGTGGAGTGACCAATAGGAATGTAGGTGGGATTTTTCAAACTGGGACAAAGGAATTTGGGTTTCTCTCTTTTCTCCCTTTTGTCTCGCTGAGAGAGTTCTCTGCAGCTACAGAGAGGGATAAGCATGTCTCTCTCTCTCTCTCCAAGACATCATTCTTCATTTTCTGTAAGTAGGGTAAAGTTTAGGTAGTTTCATTAGGTTTTATTGTGTTATGGATTGGGTATGGGATCTGAGATCTGGCACTGCTTAAAAGATGTTTTGGCTTTTCTTTGTAACTAAGTTCTAGGCCCATGGAGTTTCTCCATGAGTATATTTTGTTACCTTCCTCTCTAGTCATTATACTTGCAACCAGAATATTGTTGTAATAATAAAGTTCTTTCTTTTCTTTTTATTAACCTGGCAGTGGTTAATGGTGTGCCCTGATTTTTGTTTTAGGGGGAAGATTTCCCAAATGATCTTTCCCCTGATTTCTTTATCAACATTTGGGTGGTGGCAGTGGAAGTTTTATTCCCAAGATCTAGGTTTTTAAGATCTTGGGGGAAGTTTTATACCAAAGCCTGGTAGATAAGGCTTTGGGGTACACTTGCTGGCCCCCACTTCTGCATTTATCATGCCAGAGTGGGGAAGGAGCCATGACACCCCTAATATTTCTCGTTGGTAGGTGCCAGGAACCAAGTGGATAGGGTAAGGTGATCTGGTTGTGGATGAAATAGTTTTCCCTGCTCTTGTGTGAGAAGATCGGGCCGATTGGGAAGGCGATATGGAGGATGAGATGACATATGGAGAAGGTAAGAGAAACACGTCTGGCGCAGCCAGTATGATGCCACTATAATTACTGTTGCTCTGTCTATTAGTGCTTTCTCTAGGACCCTGTGTATTAGGGGAATTGGTGGAAACGCATATAGCAGTTGTCGACTCCAGTCGAGGAGGAATATATCACCCCTTGATGCTTGACCTATTCCTGCTCTGGAGCAATAATGGTCGCACTTCGCATTATACTGCGTGGCGAAGAGGTCTACAGTTGGGTGGCCCCAGAGTTGAAATATGTTGTGTACAACCTTGGGGTGTAGCTCCCATTCGTGCTGCTGTGCAAAATGCCGGCTGACTGTGTTTGCCATGATGTTGACGTCCCCCGGGAGGTATGCTGTAGTAATTGAGATGTTGTGCCGAATAGACCAATTCCAAAGGTGTATCGCCTCTCTGCAAAGAGTACGGGAGCGAGCTTTGTCTTGTTTGTTTATGTAATAGACTGTTGTCATATTGTTTGTAAGAACTTGTACTCTCTGGCCTTGTATCCAGGGGAGAAAGTGGTTGCAAGCGTTGTATACTGCTCGGAACTCCAGAAGATTTATATGGCAGAGCGATTCCTGTGGCGACCAACAGCCCTGTGCTTGTTTGTCTTGCATGTGGGCTCCTCAGCCAAGAAGAGAGGCATCTGTGGTAACCTGGATGGTAGGCTGGGGGGTGTGGAATGGGATACCCGCTAACTATTGCGGGGAATAGTCCACCATTTCAGGGATTGCCTGACCACATTTGGTACAGAAACCATCCTGTGCACGTCACACCTGTGAGGTGGGTATACAGTTGATATCCACTGTTGCAGGCATCTGAAATGTAGGTGTGCATGCGTGATGACATAAGTAGTGGCTGCCATATGGCCCATCAATTGTAGACAGGTGAAAACCAGAACTGTGGGACTGGTAGTGAGGACATGCACAAGATCTTGGATCGCGCTGAGTCTGGTGTTGGGAAGGTAGGCACGTGCCGTCACAGAATCGAGGTGAGTGCCGATAAAATCTATAGTCTGTTGAGGAATGAGGGACGATTTCTGGATGTTGATTATGAGGCCTAGGCTGTCAAAAAGAAGTCTTGTTGTGGCGACTGCGATCGAGGCCTCGTCAAAGGATTGAGCCCTGAGGAGGCAGTCATCCATGTAAGGGATGATTATGATCCCTAGGCAGTGGAGGAAGGCCGCCACCACGGCAAGTGTCTTGGAGAAAACCCTTGGTGCAGCTGAAAGACCGAATGGGAGAACTTTGTATTGGTAGTGTTTGGCGCCTACAAGGAAGCGGAGAAAACATCTGTGGGCGGGGTGGACTGTGACATGAAAATAAGCGTCTTGTAAGTCGAGGGAAGCAAATCAGTCTTCTGCTGCAATGCCAGTATGATGGTGATGAGAGTAACCATCTTGAACCTCCACACAGTTTAGACCGCAGAGGTCCAGTATAGGTCTCCAACCGCCGGACGTTTTCTGTGTTCGAAAATAACGGGAGTAATACCCTCTTCCGTGGAATGGTAAAGACACCCTCTCTATGCCTCCAATACTGAGGAGATGGTCCACCTTTTGCTTGAGGAGAAGCTCATGAGATGGATCCCTGAAAAGGGACGGGGAGGGGGAACGGGTTGTAGGGGACGAGATGTGAAGGGGATTACGTAGCCCGTTGTGATGAGCTGCATGACCTATTTGTCCGATGTTATTGCAGCCCAACGATGTTGAAAAGGTCAGAGGCGGAGGAGAAAGAGAGTAGTATCGACATTCAAAGCAGCAAGAATAGGAATGGTTTGCAAACCCTCGAGCAACATGTCAAACCTGCTGTTTGGCTTGTGGTTGAGTTGTAAGTCTGGGTGCTTGTGGACGTCGCCTTTGAGGATGTTGCTTAGGGCGTTGCTGTTCGTATTGTCATGGCTGTACATAGGAAGGTGGTCTCTGTTTCTGTTAAGGGTATATACTTTCTGCGGCGATATGGAGGAATATACATGCCTAAGGTTCTCAAGGTGGTACGTGAGTCCTTGCCAGAGTGGAGAAGTTGATCTGTTTTCTCCGCAAACAACCCTTGTGTGTCAAAAGGCAAGTCCTCGAACTTGGCTTGAAGTTCCCTGGGGACCGCTGACATATGGAGCCACGAAACCCTGCGCATAATGACGGAAGTCGCCATCGTTCTAGCTGCCTCATCCGCCGTATCGAGGGCTATGTTCAATGCTGAGCGGGAGGCCGTGTAACCCTCTTGGATAATGGCCTTAAGGAGCTAGGGTTTCATGTCTGGAAGATGTTCCAGTAGTTGAGCCAACTTCGCATAATTATCGAAGTTGTGATTAGCCAGCAATGTGGAGTAGTTGGCCATTCGGAGGATAGAAGTGGCCGAAGAATAGGCTTTCCGCCTGAGCAGGTCAAGACATTTATTGTCCTTGTCCCCAGCTGTTGTCTTGTGCTGGGGGGCTTTCGCGCATTGTTGTGCTGCATCCACGACCAACGAGTTAGGTTGGGGATGGGTGAACAGATATTCCATCCCCGTGGCTGGGACATAATATTTCTTATCGGCCTTTTTATTTGTTTGTGGGGCCGTGGCTGGAGTCTACCAGATAGCATTGGAAATCTTGAATTTAGCCTGGTTCAAAAGCAGCGTGACCTTGGAGGCATGGGAAGATGGGTGTAGATTACGCAACAGACGGTGTTGGTTCTGTTGGACTTCCATAAGTTTAACGTTCTGTGTCCCCGCTACCCAATGAAAAAGGTCCTGGAACTCTTTGAGGTTATCAGAAGGTGAGGTATCTCCAGTGAGGATGGCGTCATCCGGAGAAGAGGAAGCTACGTCTGTTGGAGAGGATTGCTGTGGTACCTCTACTTCCGAGACCTGTGGCAGTTCAGCGGCAGGCTGTTGTGCAGGAGGCAGGTCGCCGGATGGAGTAGGTGGTCTAGCTTCTGCTGGTGTAGAGGATCTACTCCTGCCACGAGTGAGCCGTGATGGAGCGGGTGATGGTGATGAACGAATCGACAGGGAATAGCGGTGTCGATGGTCATGGGGAGAATGCCAGTGATCATCGTATCGAGGGCAGTATGAACGTCTGTAGACATCCCTATATCTAGAATCTCGAGAATAGTATGGGGATCTCGGTGACCTAGACCTGCGATGAGAGCAGCAGGGGGATGGTGATCGGTAGTACGTGTGATGATATCTAGATGTGGGGGGAGACACTGTGTTTGGATCGATGATAATGTCGAGGTGGAGACAGTGATTCCGGGGAAAAAACAGTCGGTCCTGGACTTAGTGGTGGTCGCCTGCTCATAGAGGAGGGGGAAGCCTGTAGCAGAGGTGTCGAGGAGATGCACTTGGCGTGGAGATACTCTGTGAATATGCCGAGGTTGGTGAGTGCCCTAGTGGTGCTGGGGAATCCTGGTGCCGCATGTGATCGGGATGTCAGTGCCGACTGTGTCGTTTGTGCTGATGTTGGCGCACGGACTAATGGTGGGATCGGTACATGGGTAGGTCCTCCATGCAACACCGAGGATTCCTCCGGTGCTGGCCTCAGTGCCGAGGACCTAGGCAACATGCGCACTATTATAATCGGTGCTGTTGGAAGGTCCGGTGCCGGAAGTGCTGAAGTTGGCGGTGGCAGTTTCAGTGCCGGGGTCAGCTTTGGTGCCAGCTTCGGCGCCCTGTGCGCCGTTGAGCTCGGTGCTGATATACTTCGCAACGGCTTGTCCTTATGCGGCTTTCAAGCTGCTGCTTTATGAGACGTGCCCGGCTCGTCCCCGGGGCTCACCCTCATAACTGGTAGTGAGCGCGACGGGGAGTGACTCCTTTAAGAGGTTGTCGCCACGGGGGAAGATTGATGAGATGTAGTCGCCTGTTCTTCAGTCTGTGGCTGGAGTGCCTTGTCAAATAGAAGCATTTTGAGGCGCATTTCGCGGTCGCGCCGCGCTCTTGCTGTCAGCCTTGAACAGTGCTAACATTTCTGGGGAATATGGGCCTCCCCAAGGCACTTGATGCAGGAGGAGTGCCCATCTGACACGGGCATAGAGTCCCGGCATGTCAGACACTTCTTGAAGCCCTGTGAACCGGGCATGGTTGAAAACCAGAAATAAAGTTAAAAAAATTTTTTTTAAACTAACTAACTAACTACACAAAACATATTAACTAAGAACTAACTATATACAACTCTCCTCTCTCTGAATCCTGATAGGATGGTTGCGAGAGGGAGCTAGTACTCTGTCTGCGCCTGAAGACGGTCAGAAGGAACTGGCGGGGCCGGACCGCACAACTAGAATTGGCGCAAAAAGCCGCAAGATGGCCGCCGTGCGTGCGCGGTCCGGCGGACAACAGCTGAAACATCTCCGAACTGCAGCGCTGGGACGGGCCCGACACCCACAGTGGAGCACCCATGGGGACACTACCCGAAGAACCACCATTGTTTGGTGTCCCAAAGGCGGGAGTCTAAAATGGAATAAAATGCAGTCACCAAACTTACCTGAGTTTGTCTTCCAAACATTTCATCTGTTGTTCCATCTCAGTTCTATCCAAATTTGTGTGCTTGTCTTGTGGAGCCTCATGTTCACCTCTGTGGGGCACAGATGTATCGGGGATGATAGATATCTCATTAGAAGCCTTCCCAATGCAAGAGCGGCAGCAGTAGTACCACCTTTCCCCAACAAACCCGTACAATCAAAGGAAAAAAAAGAGGAAATTAATTTAAAAAAACCAAACCTGTTGCAAGGAAAGGTTACCCCAGAAAGAGAGAAGTGCCAAGTCTCCATGAAATACCTAGTGACATCAATATTGCTACTGACTTTAAATGGAAAGTAATAAGATGCTACCATACATACTGCGTACAGATGTGGTCTCTTCATCTCAAAAAAAGATATACTGGCATTAGAAAAGGTTCAGAGAAGGGCAACTAAAATGATTATGGGTTTAGAATGGGTCCCATATGAGGAGAGATTAAAGAGACTGGGACTTTTCAGCTTGGAAAAGAGGAGACTAAGGGGGGATATGATAGAGGTAAATAAAATAATGAGTGGTGTGGAGAAAGTGAATAAGGAAAAGTTATTTACTTGTTCCCATAATATAAGAACTAGGGGCCACCAAATGAAACTAATGGGCAGCAGGTTTAAAACAAATAGAAGGAAGTTCTTCTTCACATAGTGCATAGTCAATCTGTGGAACTCCTTGCCTGAGGAGGTTGTGAAGTGTAGGACTATAACAGGGTTTAAAAGAGAACTAGATAAATTCATGTTATCTATTAGCCAGTATGGGTAAGGAATGATGTCTCTAGCCTTTGTTTGTCAGAGGATGGAGATGGATGGCAGGAGAAAGATTGCTTGATCATTAGCTGTTCAATTCACTCCCTCTGGGACACCTGGCATTGGTCACTGTCGGCAGACAGGGTACGGGGCTGGATGGACCTTTGGTCTGACCCAATATGGCCATTCTTATGTTTTTATGATGGGTGGCAGGATAAAATTTTAAAATAGACAGATTAATTATAGCAATAATCACAGGGGTAAGATGACTTGGGCAAGATAAAATAACTCACCACACAAAATAAACTCAATCCAAAACCATTTCAGAGTTATGAAAAAAAAATCTATGTAGCTATTTTGCTTAAATCAACTTTGTTTTTTTAAAGATACTTATTTTATGGAATCTCATTTGAAGAAGAAGAAAGGAGAAAATAGGTTGTAACAATATAAAGATATTTTTCAGTTTCATGGATGCTTCTCTGCTTCTTGATTCCTCCTGGGACAAGAAATGCTGATATTATTTGAGGAAATTTCCAGTTCAGGTTTTCCAGATTCCAGATATTCCTGCAATTCAGTTAATGACTAAACAAGGTTCGGACAGTTATCTTCTCCATATCAAGCATAAGGGAGTCAGGGGCTAGTGGCAACTACAAATCTGTAATTCTCTTCTAAGGTTCTAAGATGAAACAAAATACAAGGATGAAACCCATGAAACCCTTGAGAGAGAATGTACAGTAACTTCAACACCACCACGGGTCCATGAATTGCTGTTTAATATTAAACTGAAGGAGCAGTTCTCTGATTCTTTACTGGGTGTCAATGTTGTTGAAAATCTCCCTTTTAAAACTGAAACAGGATCTAAACTATGTAGCTTGAGCTTGCTCCATCTGTATATTGATTGTACCCAAAACTCCAGATCCAAATATCCCCACATTTTCATGGAAAAAATTATTACACGCCTTTTCACAACTCTCGTTCTTTGAGATTAGTTGCGCCCGTCTGTCCACATCAGGTGTGCACACTGCATGCACCACTGCCAGAGATTTTTCCCTAGTGATATCCAAATGGCCAGCTCCATCACCCCCTGGAGGCATTCATTCAAGCACCAGTATCAGAAGTGATGCAGACTCCACACCCTTTTAGTTCCTTCTTGCTGTCAATTCCAACAATGGGGTAAGAAGGGCTGGACACTAAATGGACACAAGCAACACATATCGAAGAACAACTGCTATGAAAAGGTGGGTAACTGCTTATTCTTCTTCAGGTGCTTGCTCATGTCAAATTCACGTCAGGTGACTCACAAGCATTGCCCTTGGGCGTGGACTGGGAGTTCCAGGATGTGCACATGTGGTTTGCTGAGTGATGACATAGCACAAGGTGAAGGTGTAAACTGGTGCCCAAGTTGCAGTCCTGCAAATGTCCTGGATCAGTACTTGAGCAAGGAAGACCACTGAAAATGCCTACACTCTCGTGAAGGGGGCCTTGATAAATGGCCAGAGACAGAACCTTCACTTGTTCACACCAGGCTTTGACACAGGCTGTGATCTTAGATGAGATCCTCTGAGAGGACACCAGAGGACCTTTGATTCTATCTGTGACTGCTACAAACTGCTGCACTGACTTTCTGAAGGGGCTTGTCCTGTCACTATAAAAGGGTAGGGCCCTTCTAATGTCTAGTGTCTTTCCTCCTCAGACTTACGTGGTTTGAAGAAGAAGGCAGGCAGAAAAATGTCTTGGTTGATGTAAAAGTATGATACCAATTGGCTAGAAAGGCAGGGTGGGGGTGAAACTGGACTTTGTCTTTGAAGAGGACTGTGTATGGGGGAGACAAAGGTTAGGCCTGAAATTTTGAGTCTCCCCTGGCTGAAGTAATTGCTACTAGGAAGGCAACATTCCGCAAGAGGAGCAGCAGGGAGCATGATACCAAGGGCTCAAATGGCAGACCCATGAGCCTTAACAGGATCAGGCTTAGGTCCCAGGGAACTGGCTACATCAAGGAAATGATGGCATCAGGACTCCGGTGCTTGGAACCGAGGACTTGATGACCAATGATGGGACTCAAGAGATCAATGCATCTTGCACGGCCGGTGCTGGTGAACAGGTGATGAGCTGGTGACTGCAGTCTGGGTTCTGAAGCGCCAAGTTGGGGACTGCTGTGGTAAGCTCAATGCTGGCTTCAAAGTGACTGGCTTTGAAGGTTCAACCCCAGCAGGAGGGAGATCCCTGGGTGTGGGAAGCACTAGTAGGGCCATTAAAGCCTTGGTCACTTACGGCCTCCAGCATGAAGGGTGCTCTTGGACGTGCCTTGCCTGTACTGCTGTCTGGTGTGCAGGGCGGGGTTCTGGCCAGGCTCAGCTCTGTGAGAGGTGATGATTCTCCTGATGCCTACCTTTGTGGGGAAGGTGAATGGCCCTGCTTGGGTTGCATCATGCTGCCTGAGTCTCTCCAGTGCCCCATTGGCTTGGGGGAGTGCCCTCTCTCTATACCCTTTTTGGTGCCAGTGATGGCATGCAGTGTCGAGCGCGCCCTGGTGCTAATGGAGCATTGTGTACGGAGACCGATGTGACCAGATGCGTTCTGAAGTCAGTTGAAGAGCAGCTTACATCAGGAGGGTGTTTAAAGGTATGTCTCTATCCTTCTGGGTGCGTCTTGAAACTGTGGCAGATCCTGTATTTGCCCCACATATGAGCATCCCTCAGGCACTTAAGGCAACTGAAGTGGGTATCACTCACTGGCATTGGCTTTGCACAGGCTGCACAAGGCTTGAAACCTGGGGATCGGGGCATGCCCAGTCCCAGGAATGAGTCCATAAAGAGGACTATCTGACTAAGCTAACTAACAAGTTAATTTACTATTTACTGGCTATTCAATATTAAAGAGGACTGACTAAGCTAACTAACAAGTTAATTTACTATTTACTGGCTATTCAATAATGCCAACAGAATAGCCAGGCCCCTGGGCAAGATATGTGGGGTGGTTCTGGACCCCAGAAGGGGCAGGGTTAGTGGTGAACCTCCTCCAGCCAGACTTTCAGTGGTACTCAGCCCATACTGCCGGGGGTTCCTGTGGCAGTTCAGCGGGCCTGGGGTTCCAGCGGTCAGTAATCCAGGCCCTTTTAAATCTCTGGGTCCTGGGGCAGCTCTGCCCTTCCCCCAGTCAGTGGCCCTGAGGATACTAAACAGTGAACCACTGGAGAAGGCTTGTGAATGCAAGAGAAGACGATTATTCCAGCACCCGTCATGGGCGGTAAAAAGGGACCTGAAACGTCGTGGGGATGGCAGTACCTTTATACCAGCATATGAGCACAAGTCTCCAGGAAGCAATGGAGCCAGCTGTCTGGGCATCCGTCTGTGAAAATCGTTAAGCAATGATGTGCCCATGGCACATACACACCTGATATGGAACTGACATGAGCAAGTCCAGCTTTGGATCTGAACAGTGCAGCTTCACTTGATCCGTAGTGAAGACTAAACGCGTACTGGCCAAGCTTTCGCATTGGACCATGGAATGACTCAGCGTACATGTGCGCGTGCCTGCGGGTGAGCTCAAATGAGCAGAAAAGGTCAAGGTCAGTAAAAAAAGCAAACCCTGCTCTCCCTTGGCAGTACGAGCCAAACAATCATTTTGCAGTGCAGCTGCTTTAAACAAACATGCCAATATTCTAACTGGGGCAAAATCAAGGCTCAGTTTTAATACAGGGGAGGGGGAAGTGCAGAATCTTGTCATTTTGGTTGCAAAAATCTGTGTTCTTCATCCTAGATTGAAATGAGCAGATATTAAACAGAAACGTGCAGTGTCTGGCTGCAGACGCTGACAACAGGAAGAACTCTGCATGCAAGTCACACCGCCACTTTTAAACAGAAACGTAGAGCTCCTGTTAATCATGCTGTGATTACCCACTGTGCCCATTGCCCAACATACCTGCAGGTCTCTTCTGAAGCCCTAGTTCTGTCAGCAAGCTCCTCACCCTGCAAAGCATCTTGGGGAGCTCTGCCAAACTCAGGCCTTGCACTTTGCTCCATGCTTCTATAAAAATAGCAATGTCTCTTCCAAAGAGGAAGGGGCAGAGGGAAGAGGGATTGAGTGGAAGCTGATCCACAGAACTTGTCTGGGACCTGTAAGTGTCAAGTACTTCCCTGCTTGCACAAACAAGCAAGGGAAGCAGCCCTAACCAGGGTGCTAGCACTTTCAAGATCCCTTGCAGATCAAAACCTCAGTAGAGTTAGGCTGACCCCTCCTTGGAGAATTTATGTAGAGAGCTCTGCCCCCCCCTCAGAGTCTGCAGTGACCGTCCAGCCAATCGAAAAGGAGGGGCTAGGTTTCATATTGCAGTGTAAAACTCTTTCACTTTAAATAGTCTGCTCTAACAACCTGTGTAGGAGACTCTCCCTCTCTCCAGGTCACTATCATGGCAAGCAAGTCCTTGTTCATTGTTGCCATTGATTTTGGCACGTCTTACAGCGGCTACTGCTTTTCTCTTGCAACACAGACAGATCAAATCCGGCAGGTGTACTGGGGGCAGGAGCATGGGCTCAACACTCTGAAGACGCCAACGTGCATCCTCTTCAATGAAAAGCGTGAGTTTCAGAAGTTTGGCTACGATGCCGTCATGAAGTACAACTCGCTCCCCTCCAGCGAAGCTCACAGATGGTACTACTTCCACCACTTCAAGATGAAGTTGTACAACCAGGTAAATGCAATCTCTGCCGAGCAGCCAATTCAGAAAAGAGCAGGGAACCTGCTTACTAGGACTGGCACCTTTCTAATGGCTGGTAACAAGACTTACAAGGTCCCAATCCTGTCTCGCCAATTACCCCCAAGGTCTCACCCTGCTCTACCTCTTCCCCCAAGCCTCAGCCCCCGCATGCCCCATGCCACGCAGAGCTGCATGAACACCCTAGCCCTGCAGCCTCCTTCCTTCCACTTAGTTATCAAAGATCCAAAATCCACACATCCAGACTTGTCAAATGGCAAACTGGAACCTGGGCTGTCTGGGTGAAAACTTGTGTGGCCACCCAAGTACTTAATGGGCTTGAGGGACTGACTTATGAAAGAGGATGAAGAAATGCATGTAAGCTGGTTAAATGCAACTATTGGGAAAACATGCCTATTTTGCAGCGTTTGATTTTTTTTAAAGTAGAGAGAAAGGGCGAAAAGCTATGGACAAGAGACATGGGTTTTAATTGAATCCCCTGTGTCTCTGCACATGTGGTCCTAGGTAGAAGGACCCAGAGACACTTAGGGAAGAGGCAGTTACTAGACATGTTCAGTAGCTGAATTGGAAACGGTATAGAAAACTTCCAGTATGGCCAAGCAGTACTGAAGATTCCACACATTCACCATAGGAAAGCTGAGCCAAGAAACATACTCAAAAGGGAAGAGATTACAAATATGGAAGGCAACAACGGTGATTCAGCAGCTAATTGTGCAGAACCAAGAGATGTGTCTGCTGTGAAAGTCACAACCCAATACTTGCACCTCTTTAGATAAGGGCTATAGATTCCTCTTCTCACTGGAAATTCAGACAGGCAGCTATTGACTCAGTGATGGGAACAGCTGCTGCTTGTAAGCACATTTAGAATCTACTCAGCAACTCTGAAACAAGATACCTGGGTGTGAAGCTTCTCATTCTGCTGGCATACCAGAGTCAACCATGGTTGATTTATCATGTCTGGATGGATCGCTGCCCATTGATCCAGCAGGTAGTGAAGACATACCCTTGGAATGCAGTGGGCTATGCTCCACAAAGTAACTGTATCTGCTACTGGCCCTGGTCCATGACTACAGTTCCTAAGGCAGTACTACAACTCATCGATGAGCATGTTCCATGTCCTCCTCAGCACTAGTCCCCAGTTATGGAGAAGCTGTTCTTATGCTTTTGACTCTGGGGGTCACTGGTTCAACTCTCAGTGCATTGGCTGCACTGGGGGCAGGGAGGGGAACTGGCAACACTCCCAGCAGCAGGTTGCACTACCTGAATACAAATCAAAGTGATTTGTTTTTTCTCACTTCTAGAAAATCACTTCCCACATGAAACTGGACGCAGATAATGGAAAGAGGCTTCCAGCCCTAACGGTGTTCTCAGAAAGTCTGCGGTACATGAAGGATCATGCTCTGAACACCATACAGGAAGCCTCATACCAAGCTGTCTATGACACTGATGATGTCACCTGGGTCGTTACTGTTCCAGCCATATGGGATGCTTCTGCCAGGCAGTTCATGCGACTGGCAGCTAAAGAGGTAAAGTGAGTAACAGCCTGACTGCTTCAGATTCTCTATAATTTTCTATTCCTCTCCTCCCCCCCCACTAAGTTCGGCATTTAAACAAACCATATTTTAGAACTTGATCAACCAGGATTGGGGGCACTGATTTTTTTTTTTTTTAAAAACATCAGGTGTTTTCAATCTGGAACTCAGACATAGCTGCTCTGCCCTTTCTGTGCTGCTAAATTAGAGGGGGAACCTGACTAGATCGTGCCCAGATGGGAGAAATGTTACAGTACAGAAAAGGAGGAGGAACCCTGCCTTGCTTTCTATACATTACTGCATGCAGCAACAAACATCTACTGACTTAGAGCCTCCTCTGAGACAAGCATCTGTAGCGAGACTAGCTGGAAGAGCCATTACAGGGGCCATGGAGCCTCATGTGCGGTGGCATACACTCATACTGGCTGGAATCAGGTAGAAATTCCCCTCCCAGACCACACCAAGTTACAGTTTTGCTCATGAATTATCCATGAACATGGAGTGGGGGGTTCACCTGCCTCTGACTCATCTGGCTCTAGTCACAGCTGAGAATAGACAAGATGGAACAGACCATTCCAGATAGGCCACCCCAATTTCCCTGGGATTAGAAGAACCTGGCCAACATCCAGTGCTCATGGTGCATCTCAGTGGTGGGAGGCCAGAATCCCACCACCATTCCCGGTGTGATCAGGTTCTCTTGTGATTTTAGGCAGGCCTCATCGGTGACATGCTTTCTGAGAAGCTCATCATTGCTCTAGAACCAGAAGCCGCCTCAATCTGGTGCAAGCAGCTCCCACAGGAAGGCTTTGTGGCAGAAGGTGGTCACAGACAAAAGTTTGAGGAGTCACCAGGGACCCAGTATGTCGTGGTGGATTGCGGAGGTAACCTTTCCTCTCCTAAATAGGTAGAATCTCTGCTATGTGCAGACTTTGTCTGTTCAGCAGCTGCAGACCCTTCTTGCATAGACAGCAAGTCACTGAGCTCTATACTATGGATGTAAAAGCCTGTTTAGAAAGTTAACCAGTTAACTGATCCTACTGGTGGTGGGCTGCTTGCTTACTGGGTAACTGATTAACCCTTTACACCCCTACTCTGATCCCCCATGCTGTGCTTGTTCTGGGTTCTTTAATTTAAACAAACTATTTCTACCTGAAAAAAACAGGCAGCTGTTGAGTTAGTGCTGATTGGAAATGCGTGGCACATGGCACAAACCACTGCAGTGCACTAATTCCCTATTTACAGAGAAGTCTGGAGTCCTCTTTCAAAAGTGTACTAAGTTTAATGCAAATTGAGTTAGTTCAGTCCACAGCGCTGGGGCCAAGTTGAGATGTTCCCTGCATCACCTAAAAACTGTGGCAGACCCAGGATCAGTCCATTTGCTCCTTGAATCAAATATATCAACATTGCTGCCATGTTAGTCTAGCAGCCTGACAATATGCCTTGAGCAGCCAGGGTGAGATCCTCGATCTCTTCACTATCTGGGGAGAAGGGACAGTCCAGGCAGAGCTTGTGGCCAGCTCTTGCTGTAAGAAACTCTCCAAGAAGATCTCAAAACAGACAGCTGAAAAGAGTCGTAGCTGGTTACCTGTCAGGGCAGTATAAAAACCAAACTAAGAAAAATGGACAAAAGAACCAGGGAGGACAGAAGACAGTCTGGCACTGCCCAAATGACCTGTTTGTTTTAGAAGGAGCTGGACAGGATTTTTAGTTGGCAGAAAGGGGGATGAATGAGTCACCCCTTTAAGGGCACGATCCAAAGTCCTTTGAAGTCCATAGGATTCTATTGCCTTCATTTGACTTTAATCAGATCCTAGCAGCGCAGCTTGCTGCCGTCAGAGCCAGACTGCTCCACTGCATACAAGCTCCCTATGGTGAAGCTTGAATTCATAACCTCCAGCTGTAGAAGCAACACTGATTCCTAGCAACTGCTTTAGTTTCTAGGTCTTATTTTGGTGTAACGTGTGAACTTAGTGCTGATGAAAGACTGACATCCCTGTGAGACACAACACTGCTTCCCTCAGAACAAGCTCAGCATGGGCAGCAGCAGTGCAAGCTTCCAGCAGACACCTTGTCCTCAGCATTACACCTAGGTCCACCCACAGGGGGAGGGAAGGCATTAAAGGGACAGCTGCCCCAGGGCTCAGTGATTTAAAAAGGCCCAGGGCCCCCAGCCATTGCCACTGCCACAACGGTAACAGCTGGAGCCCGTGGCCCTTTAAATCGCTGCCAGAAGTGTGCACCAGGCTTTGCTGAAAGACTAGCTGGGGGAGGCTAGCCACCAGCCCCACCCCTTCTGCCTGAGGTCCTGCCCCTTCTAAGGGGCTCCCGTTCCCCAGGACCTGGTGAAGTCTGTCAGCTACCCTGACTGTGCCTCAATTCTGCCAGAGGGTGGATATCAAAAGATGTCAGTTTTCATACCTATTCAGTTCTGCCATCTCAGCAAACAACCCAGAAGGGACTTAACATCAACTAGGGTGTGGACACTTGCTCACTGGATACTAGACTGACTCATCAGTACATTTCCTACAGGTCACTGAACACCCAACAAGCAGACAGTCGTATCTCACAGCTGTTACTAACTTTCAGCTGAGTTTGAGAAAACTATTTATTAGACACCAACATGTGCTTGGTAGTGTCTAGCATGCAGAAATTAAAGTCCCTGGGTATAGAAAGATTATGACTTAAAGAATGGGCAGCTCTGAATCCCAATATCCAGAGCACACTTGCCAATCATGAGGGTTGTTTTTAATGTTTGTAAAGATAGGGACTGTCTTTAGAAAGCAGCCTTCTATTCAGCAAAAATGGAAGTAAAATTTTTTTTTTTATAAAATTCACTAATTTTATTCATTTTGGGTATTAGGTGGCACCATAGACATCACAGCACATGAAATCCAAAAGAATCAATCCCTGAAAGAATTACATAAGGCGTCGGGAGGAGGATGGGGAGGCAGCACAGTGGACGAAAACTTCAAAGAGTTCCTGAAGGAGATCTTCCACGAAGGAGTATGGGATGAATATGCGCAGAATCACCCAACAGAATGCCAGCAGATGATGTACAACTTTGGGCTTCAAAAATGCTCCTCCAGCAAAGATGATCTCTACTTACATTGCTACCACAACCTCACAAAAGTGGCAGAGCGCAAGCACAAAGACATCTCCCGCTTCTTCAAGGATGTGGAGGGAGCTGAGTGGTGTGATGGGTCTATCATGATTACATACGAAAAAATGAAGAGCTTTTTTGCCTACAGTATCAGACAAACCATTGATGCCTTGCTGGAAATCCTCAGCAAGCCTGAGATGACCACAGTCCAATATATTTTACTGGTTGGAGGCTTTGCTTCCAGCATTATCCTGAGGGAGGAGATCTATGAGACCTTTAGGGAGCAGTACCATATCCTGTGTCCACTGGAAGCTCAGGCAGCTATTGTAAAGGGGGCAGTTTTATTTGGGCACAATCAGCAAATTGTTGCCTCAAGAATCAGTGCTCTGACATACGGAGTAGCGGTATGTGAGACATTTGATATTGCTGTCCATGACACACAGAAAAAGAGAGTCTCAAAAGCAGATAATTATGAATATTGCACAGATCTCTTCAAGAAGCTGGTGGGAATTGGGGATTTGGTGGCAGTAGATGAGGTTGCCAGTTACAGTTTCACTCCCGTGGAACCAGATCAGACAAGTGTGGCTTTCGGTTTCTATTGCACAGAAAAGAAGGCTGCGAAGTACAAAAGTACATAGATGAGGAAGGGCTGAAAACGCTCGGTTCCTGTACTGTGCCAACACCAAACACAGAGCTGGGGAGAAACCGCCAACTGAGACTGGATATCAAATTTGGGCTAACGGAATTTAAAGCCTCAGGCAGTGATGTCACGTCTGGTGAAAGTCGGTCGGTTATGATCAATTTTTTAACATCGTAAAGGTTCCATTGTTCAAGGACTAGTGAGAAGAGCAGCAGGCTCAGATGACACAAGGGACTATAGAGCTCAGTCAGGAGAATATATGAGTCGCCACAATGGAATAGCCAAACGGACCACAGAATCCAGTAATTCTCTTCCTGCCACACCAGAACAAACGAATAATCTGTCTAATCTGTCAATCTCCAAACTTTTTCTCTGATGCCCCCTCCTCAGCTGGGACAGGGAGTAGGGCCACAACTCCAGGAAGGGAGGGGGATGCTAACAGAGGTAAGGGGAAGAAGGGTGGGCCCACATCTAGGGGTCTGGACTGAGGATGGCAACTGGGGCACTGGGCACAGTGCTCTGGGCATGGGATCTGCAACTGGGATCCTGAGTGCGTGGCTAGGAGCAGAGCCATGAAGATGGGGCTGGCAGCTGGTGCTCTGGGAGGAAAAGGAGGCTCTGGTCTGTGGGCCCACTGGTTCCTCCACATATCAGGGGACAGGGACTCTGCTCCCGCTACTTTCTAATTCCAAAAGCCAAAGGGAGCATCAACCCATTTTAGACCTGCAAGAAATCAACAAATTCATAAAGAAGCTCAAATTCCGCATGGGCTCCCTGGCATCTATAATTCCTTCCCTGGATCTGAGCTATGGGTACGCTGCCCTTGACTTGAGAGATAAATACGTTCACATCTCAGTTTATCAATTCCACAGGAAATACCTCGGATTTATAGTGGACAACAAACATTACCAATTTACTGTGCTCCCTTTGGGACTTTCATCAGCCTCAAGGGTTTTTACGAAGTGTATAGCAGTGGTTGCCACCTTCCTCCACAAAAACAGGGTTCAGGTTTTTCCATACCTGGATAGGTGACTCATCAAGGGTTGATCCAGGTCTCAGGTAGAGGCACATGTGACATTAGTCAGGAGCACTTTCAACAATCTAGGCCTCCTTATCAATGAGTCCAAATCGACTCTCCTCCCAGTTTAGAGGATGGAGTTCTGAATTCAACCCAAGCAAGGGCCTACCTCCCTGTGGAATGATTTCAGACCATTGCCTCCATCATTCAGTCTCTGAGCTTTCCCTATAATCATAGCCAGGACCTGCCTCAAACTCTTAAGCAATATGACCTGGTAGAGGCGATCTCTGAAGAAAATTTAAGACTTTGAATTGACTTCTGACAGCAGCGCTTTCTCTCACTGGACAACATCAGATGAGTTAGGACCAGACTGTGCTTGGCCCTCACACAATGGTTCTAGCAGATGAGCAGGATTGCATGGAGGCAGCGCTGTTCCTTGAATCAGGTTGACTGAGCTGGGCTCCACACTTTGGGGGGCCCCAGCATTTCAGTGTGCATGTGGTGTGGGGCGCAGTTCCGGTCTTCAGCAGCGGCAGCTGTAAGTGCTGACTCTATGGCTACCTTGGGGCTTGAGCACCATGGACAAAAATGGTGGGCTCTCAGTACTGGTATCAAAACCTCTCCCTCCTTTCAGTGCCTCCTGCCTGCCTGTAGGTGTGCCAATCAGTGCTTCCCCTTCCCTCCCAGCTGCCTACCACCAATCAGCTGTTTTGCATCGGGAGGCACTGGAGGGGGAAGGGGAAGGCATGATGGAGCTGTGGGCAGAACTGAGAGGGAAGAGGTGGGGTAGGGGTAGGAAGAGGAGGAGTATAGAATCACAGAACCGGAAAGAACCTCGAGAGGTCATTGAGTCCTGTCCCCTGCCCTCACAGCAGGACCAAGCACTGTCTAGATCGGAGTGGGCAAAAGAGCCTCCGCGGGCTGGATCCGCCCTGTCAAGCGGGTTGATCCGGCCTGCGGAGGCCCTGCCGCTCCCCCAACCCCAGGTCAATTAGGGCCTGGGGGTGGGGGAACATGCAAAACTTCCTCCTGCCTTACAAGGAACATGCAGCACTTCCAAGTGCCATTCGCTCTTGCAAGGCGGGGTCAGGGCGAAGGAAGCTTCATACAGCTCCCCTGCCATGAGGCCCTGATTGGCCTGGGGGTGGGGGAATGTGGGAAGCCTCTTCCCTCCCTGCTAGGGGCAAAGGTGCCTACTGGAAGGGGGGGGGCAAAGGGTTCTCCCACCCCCAGACCAATCATAGTCTGGGGGTGGGGTAGCCCAGAAGCATCCTGGCCCCATCCCTTCTGGTTTTGAAGTGGCCCCAGGGTAAAAAATTATTGCCCACCCTGGTCTAAAACCAAACTTCAGCAAATTACAATCACCGTCTAAGCAGGTTTCTCACCCACACTCAGTTCTCAGTTCCTCCGGGGTAAGGATCCACCTTTCCCAGATATCATCAGCTCTGGCCTCTTGTGTCCTACTGGTGATGGAGGCCTAAATGCCTTTTTGTTTCTGCTTCTATTTTCCAAAGGCTATTTTTCTGTTTCAAGAACCAGGGGAACGGGCTGGGGAGCTGCCTTCAACCCCTTTCATAATCGTTAAGTGGTCATCTCCCCACTTGCTAGATTGATGGCTTTGCCTACCTTCCTGGTAAAGGTACTTCCATTGTGTCTAACCTCGCCTTGCTCAGTTTACGTTGGAGACCTAGTCAGGAAGGTGAAACAACATTTCTCTGTCTAGGGCAGGGAGGGCACACGCACGGCTTGTCAAACACATGTTAAGAACTCATTTCCTGCACACATCTATAAATGTTCGTACGTTATCCGTGCACACAATCATGTTAATGACCAGTGTGTTACCAGTCTGCACATAACACTTCATATAACATCTTTTAGATACAGATTATGACAACAGTATGTTGTGCAAAGAATGTGTGAGAATTGCTGTGAGCTATGGGCTGGTGTGCCCTCTGCCTCATGGCATTGGGGGCTACCTGGGTCACAGGCACATAGAGACCTCCCTATTCCATTGGTGCTGTATGGACACTTATGGGGAGGTAGCCTGGCGTTCTCACTAAGAGAAAGTGGGGGCAGGAAAGAGAGGAACGGAGAGAGAAAAAGGGTCCATGTTCGTTCCAGAATTGTTTCAGTTTCTTGCCCCTAATCATTGTCCTGTCCACACAGAAAACCTAGACAATAATAATGTCATAAATAACAGCATGGATTTGTCAAGGACAAATCACGTCAAACCAATCTGATAGCTTTCTTTGCCCACCGGGTAGGGGTGGGACATTGGGGGAAAAGAGTGGGGACGGGCTGGAGCCAGAGGGGAGCATTGCCCAGGAGTTTAGGAACATAGACCAATTTGTCCTGGCCCTATACTACATGGATCACTGTGTTCAGATCCAATATTATAGCATCCAGGATTCTCTGCTAGATATTGCACTACTGGTCTAATCTAATGCAGGAGGAGGCAGAATAATGTACTAGACTAGCTGTATTGGTCCAGCCAAGAATGGCATATACCAGACTATCAAACTAACTGGGCGACTAGACTGGGAAGAGGAAGGATTATTAGATTAAACCAAAGGTTCCCAAACTGTGGGGTGTACCCCTGCCCCAGAGGACAGAGAGGAATGTTTTAGGGGGCATGGTTGGGGGTTGAGGGACAGGGAGGGTGCACCACCCAGCTCCTTCCCTCCCTCCAGTGTCTCTTGCCAGCGGAACCTCCTCTATCGTCCCTAGAGATAGGAGTAAGTGCATCTCCTGAATAAGGAGTTGCTCGTGAGAAAAGTCCATGAAGAGGGATGGGGAGTGGAGGTGGGAGAGCAGGAGAGAGGAAAACTAGATGGAGTATCCTCTGTCTACTGTGCACATTACTCAATGAACCAAAGTGATCTTGGACCATGCACAGTAGAAAGGAGATAGTCAGGAAGAGAAGGTAAGATGGGGTGGATCCAAGGAAACAGCCATCTAAAGAAACAATTGGTACTCCATCCTCGACTGTACACTCAAAACTGCTACTTGTGGTTAGATGAGGATTTTGACTGGCCAGAACCTCGTCCTGATGACGGCTGTTGATGTCTCCTGCCATCTCTCTTCCTTT